CCTTCAATTAACCCACATATGTTTATCAGCCAGGTTGGCACAATACACTTTAACTATATCATATGATATAATCCAATAAAATTGCCCCTGCCAAATAAAATCAAGGCATAGCTAAAATTAATGGAAACTAAAATTGTGGCCATGTATCTTTGTCAAATTGTGAATACCTGCTCAAATCAAAGGATTGAAAAGCTGCAGAAAGAAAAGCTTACATTAAAAATGGAACCTGTTATAGATTAAGGTAAAACTTTAAGACAGGTTTTTATCTTTGTATTGGATCTTATATTGTGAGTGAATCATGGCTTAATAAGTTATTGATGATAATGAGAACTCATAGCTAATTTCACCAGTACTGGTAAAAATACAGTCAAACTGAAAATGTTTCACTAATCATTGGAAGTAAATTACTAAATGATCCCAATTACATATCAGGAATACTATTGTATTTAAATGACTGAAAGCATTTATATGACTAAAATATGCCAAATAGCTTAAAAGTTAAAAATGTGTTTAATATACCTTTCTCTTACTTTTTCTATTCAAAGCATGAATTAGTCAAATCCAGTGTACCTTTCAAAGGTCTCTGAGAGCATTACCAAGATTAACTCATTCATCCAGATCAACTCTCATATATTAATATCAATTTCATAATTAACGGAAAAATTTGACAGCATAATGCTTACATGATTGACCCCAGCATGAAGAAGTGAAGCTAGAAGATAAAATTTTTTAATGGATTATAAAGTTAGAGCCTACAATTCTAAGACCAAAACTAAATTTTGAAAATACCCATTACCATGAGATTAGATGATAAGTTAAAGACCCAAAAGCAACTTAAGGTTCAATATAATTTTTGAATGAATTGTTTGGCTGATTATAATCACGGCTGAGCTTTCAAAACAAAATTAGCAAACAGTGAACAAAAAATGCTATAGAGATTCATCTCATTAGAAACCCCTAAATTCTAAATAGAACTGATTAGAAGACTAAACAAGAAAACCAAAAACCCAAAGCAAAAATTACTGCCATTGAGTCAGTTCAGACTCATAGTGACCCTCCAGCACAGAAGAGAACTGCCTCTGTGGGTTTCCAAGTAGAAAGTCTCATCCTTCTCCCGTTGGGGGGGGGCTGCTGGTTTCAGACTCATGACCTGTGGTTAGCAGCCTAACACATAATTCATTATGCCACCATGGTGCCTTACAATGAAATAAAAGCTTTCTAAAATCTCTATTTAAATTTTTTGAAAACCTCTTATAATTATTTTGCATATGGGTATTAAAAGACAATTTACTTTCTTTTATAAAAATTCCTTTTTAGTTCTATTCCATAGTATCCTATTCTCATTCTGTATGTCCTGTTGAAATCTTTCAGAGTTTAAGTTGCTTGAATAGCCTTTTGAGAATAACATTTCACTTCAAATAGTGATATTTTGGAAATCTTTTAGAAATACCAAAAGATTTGAAACTAAAAAAGTTGTCATGGAATAACTAAATTATTTAATCAAATTTTTACCTACATAACTCAATTTCAAATTTTTACCTACATAAATAACTCAATTTTTAAATGAGATTGACTAATTCATTTAGCTCAACTAGTGAGAAATTATTTTTAAATCTGTTTTTAATAATAAAAATTTCAATAAAATAAAATAAATAATGAAAATTCCGGGCAGAGAAAACATTTCTTCCATGTATATTTGTTAATTTTGTTTGTAAGGGGTAAAAGAAGAAGGATGAGTAAGAAGGATGAGCAATTGGCATAATTAATCACAAGTAACATGTTAAATATTCACATAGTTCAACTTTCAATAATTTTTAGTCTAATAAAAAATTACATCATGAATATATTAAATAATTAAAGAAAAATGTTTCTCCAAAATATTTTCCTACGGAGGTTTTCTCTGTGCTTTTGAATATTAAAAAATCACTTTAGAATAGCATGAAAGTAAGAATTTTTAAAATAG